CTGCAAAATCAGCAAGGGCTCAAATACTTATTTCCCCCACTGTAGGTTAAATTAACCATTAAAGCTGTTGGAGGTGAGACACACACACACACACACACAAAATACCTGCAGCTCATCGTCTGTGAGGTTTTCTCCCAACTCCTTGGCGACTCTCTTTAGATTTTTGAAGGAGATTTTTCCTGTGCAGTCATCGTCAAACAGCCGGAAAGCCTTCAGTATTTCCTCCTTGGAGTCCTTTTCATTCTACATGAAAAAGAGGGTCCGGTTGTCTCTTAGAGCTCATTCAAAACCCAAAACAATCAACAATTATGCTGTCTGTCGCTCACTGAATATAAATGACTGAACAGATTTAATATCAAAAGGTTACATTACTTTTAACTTTTGGATTTTCTGCTTTGTTGGGAATAAAAGTCTTTGTGTTCCCTAGAGCTATTAATAGACCATGAAAGGTTTATAATAACACATAAAGCTCCTGGATTATGCTGGCTCCCCTTGAGGTGAAAATGCCTCATTGAACAGACTTAGTAATTGTCATCTTTGGATGCTTTTGCCTTTGGGACTTTGCTGTTTGTTAGTTTGAGTTTTTTCTATTTGGTTTAAGTGGGGGATAATATTCTCTTTAAAGACACAATTTCATTTTATATTTGCGGCTGTGAAATTAATAAAGTTTTATTGCTGTACACCGTTTTCAAACTTTTTGTCCACTCACCATTTTTAGTGTCATTATGCTGAGAAATTCCCCAAAATCTATAGTTCCAGATCCATCTTTAACTACGTCTGCAACCATCTTCTTAATTTCTTCTTTCTTTGGTTCAAAGCCCAGAGCTCTCATGGCGACCTGTGGCGAGGCAGAAAAAGTTAAGCATCAGGATGTTTCATTTGCCTTTAGTCAATAAAATGTAAACCAAGCTAACCTTAAGTTCTTTAACATCTATTGTTCCAGTTCCGTCTGTGTCGAAAAGATCAAAAGCCTCCTTAATTTCTTGTCTTTGCTCCTCGGTAAGTTCAAGTTTGGAGCTTGACTTTTTCTTTTGGCTCGAAGAGGAAGCTGGTTTCCGGTAATTTGAAGCCTGAAAAATTAAGCATACAATTAACCATAATTAATAAGCTACGTGGTTTGTACAAATGGGAAACCTAAAGTTATATAGTGCGGTCTGTCCACATGCTAGCAACCTGCTAGCTAGCAGCTCCGCGACACCAAAGAAAAGTTTTCATTCAACGGTTTTCAACTGAAAAACTCCGTTCTGGCTACATAGTTTACACACTATATCCTTCAAAGTTTAATTTTTTAAATATAATCGTACCATTTTAAAAGACGACTCAGAAAGGAAACGTCCAATGTTGTGTTTCAGGATTGAATGTCAACAAAACCAACAGCAACGGTTGTATTTAGTTTCCGTTAAGATAGCCAATCAAATCTTTGATGAAACGTCATCTTGACCCATTATCCAATAAACAAGCAGAATAGGCGGGTTATATCCCCCTCCGCCAATTGTATAAACTGTTTCACGTCGCTAGGCAACCTGAACATTTAACGCATGCGCACTAGTTGATAGACGTTTGAGATGAGACGTTTGGAAAACCGTAGCAAACTACCAACGTATCGTTCGTTATTAAAAACAAGGTAAAATAATATTTTTTGTGAATGGATTTTTTTCAGTAGGAACGCAGATATTCTGTTATGTTCTATTCTATTCTATTATATTCTGAAAGTGTACTTCTTAACGTCATGTGTTAGCTATTGAGCTGTTGCTAGTTTGAGGTGTTATTTGGATACAGGGGGTCAAAACTTTACATTGTTAAAGGAAATGTCCTTAACAGGACTAACTTTTAGGGCATCAGAGGTTTTAGCCACCAAAACAAGACTCTTTTTCTCTTCTGTGTTGGTTATATCTGTCTTGATCAATTTTATCCATAAGTAACAGATAGATAGATTGAAAGAGAGATACTTTATTGATCCCCAAGGGGAAATTCAAGCAGATGATAGTAGAAACTGTACTTTGAGGTGCAGAAAATTAAACGTGTGTTGTTCTTACAGGATAAGCTAACAGGATGCTGGTGAGTGCCGTGGTAAACAGCCAACAGCACGCAGGCCTGCAGAAACTCTGTGCCCTGGCAGGTATGTCCCACTCCTCCCTGGGTCCTGACAAAAGGTTCAAGTTCATCCAGGACGA